AAAATTGCACCAGCATTCTTCTCAAAACTAGAACAAGCAATCCTAAAATTTGTATGGAACCACAAAAGACCCCAAATAGCCAAAATAATATTGAAGAAGAAGACCAAAGCAGGAGGCATCACAATCCCAGACTTTAGCCTCTACTACAAAGGTGTAATCATCAAGACAGCATGGTATTGGCACAAAAACAGACACATAGACCAACGGAATAGAATAGAGAACCCAGAATTGGTCCACAAAAGTGTGGCCAACTAATCTTTGACAAAGCAGGAAAGAATATCCAATAGAAAAGACAGTCTCTGTAACAAATGGTGCTAGGAGAACTGGACAGCAACATGAAGAAGAATGAAACTAGTCCACTTTCTTACACCATTCACAAAAATAAACTCAGAATGGAAAAAGGACATGAATGTGAGACAGGAAACCATCAAAACCCTAGAGGACAAAGCAGGAAGGAACGTCTCTGACCTCAGCTGCAGCAATTTCTTACTTGACACATCCCCAAAGGCAAGGGAATTAAAAGCAAAAATGAACTATAGTGACCTCATCAAGATAAAAAGTTTCTGCATTGCAAAGGAAACAATCACCAAAACTAAAAGGCAATGGACAGAATGGGAAAAGATATTTGCAAATGACACATCAGATAGAGGCTAGTATCCAAAATCTATAAAGAACTCACCAAACTCCACACCTGAAAAACAAATAATCCAGTGAAGGGGCAGAAAACATGAATAGACACTTCTCTAAAGAAGACATCCAGATGGCCAACAGGCACAAGAATAGATGCTCAACGTCACTCCTCATCAGGGAAATACAAATCAAAACCACACGGAGATACCACCTCACGCCAGTCAGAGTGGCCAAAATGAACAAATCAGGAGACTAAAGATGCTGGAGAGGATGTGGAGAAACGGGAACCCTCTTGCACTGTTGGTGGGAATGCAAACTGGTGCAGCTGCTCTGGAAAACGGTGTGGAGTTTTCTCAAAAAATTAAAAATAGATCTACCCTATGACCCAGCAATTGCACTAGTAGGTATTTATCCAAGGGATACAGGAGTGCTGATGTAGAGGGGCACTTGTACCCCAATGTTTATAGCAGCACTTTCAACAATAGCCAAATTATGGAAAGAACCTAAATATCCATCAACTAATGAATGGATAAAGAAATTTTGGTTTATATATACAATGGAGTACTACATGGCAATGAGAAAGAATGAAATATGGTCTTCTGTAGCAACGTGGACGGAACTGGAGAGTGTTTTGCTAAGTGAAATAAGTCATACAGAGAAAGACATACCATATGTTCTCACTCTTACGTGGATCCTGAGAAACTTAAAAGATCATGGAGGATGGGAACGGGGAAAAAAAAAAAAGTTAGGGAGGGAGCCAAAGCATAAGAGACTCTTAAAAACAGAATAAACTGAGGGTTGATAGGTGGTGGGAGGGAGGGGAAAGAGGGTGATGGGCAGTGAGGAGGGCACCTGTTGGGATGAGCACTGGGTGTTGTATGGAAACCAATTTAAAAATGAATTTCATATTAAAAACATATTTTTAGGGGCGCCTGCGTGGCTCAGTTGGTTGAGTGTCCGACTTGAGCTCAGGTCATGATCTCACAGTCCATGAGTTCAAGCCCCACATCAGATAGATTAGGGGAGATAGGATCGAGACAGATAATGAATAAATCAAATTTGCATATGCTATAATGGAAAATAAAAAAAACTAAAGGAAATAGAAGGAAAGTACAAGCGGGCACCCCAAAGCCAAAGGAAGAAAAGAAGTAAAGATCAGAGCAGAACAACCATATATAGAATCTAAAAAAAACCTGTAGAGCAGATCAACTTAAAACCAGTTGTTTTTTGAAAAAATAAAACAAAAAATTGATAAACTTCAGTTATATCAAAAAGAAAAGAAGATGAACCAAATAGATAAAATCATGAATGAAATGGAATTATTACAACCAACTCTAAATACAAAGCAATTATCAGGGAATATAAAAATTATATGCCAACAACTGACAACCTTGGAAGAAATGGACAAATTCCTAAACAGCCACACACTTCCACCTCAAACAGGAGGAAATAGAAAGCTTGAACAGACCTGTAAATGCAAAGAAATTAACTAGTTATCAAAATCTCCCAACAAATAAGTCCAGTACCAGATGGCTACCCACGGAATTCTACCAGATTAAAGCAGAGATAATAACGCAATCCTTTCTCAAGTTGTTCCAAAATAGAAAGGAAGGAAAACAGACTCATTCTATGTAGCCAGCATTACTTTACCTCCCAAACCAGACAGAGACCCAGCAAAAAGGAGAACTACAGGCCAATAACCCTGATGAATATGGATGCAAAATTTCTCAACAAGATACTAGCAAATTAACACCAACAGCATATAAAAAAGAATTATTCACCATGATCGCGGGCCTCCATTCCCAGGCTGCAGGGTGGTTCAACATATAAATCAATCAATGTGATACATCACATTAATAAAAGAAGTTAGATCCCGTCAACGACAGAAAAAGCATTTGACAAAATTATCCTTTCTTAATAAAACCCTTGAGAAAGTCGGGATAGAAGGAACATATTTAAACATCATAAAAGCCATTTATGAAAGCCCACAGCTAACATTTCAATGGGGAAAATTGAGAGCTTTTCCTTGAGATCAGAACAACGGTTGTGACTTCACCCCTGTTGTTTAACATAGTGTTAAAGTTCTAGCATCAGCAAATCACCAGACAACAAAAGAAATCAAAGGGCATCAAAATAGGTAAAGATGAAATTGGTGGCTTTTCGTTCTGTTGCAGATGACATGATATACATGGAAAAACCCAATAGATCCACCAAAAGTTCACAAGAACTGATACATGAATTCAGCAAAGTTGCAGGATACAAAATTATGTACAGAAAATCAGTTGCATTCTTACAGTAATAATGTGAAGCAACAGAAAAGACAAATAAAGAAAACTGATCCCCATTCACAATTTCACCAAGAATCATAAAATAATGAATAAACCTACCAAAGATGTAAAAAGATCTGTATGTTGAAAACTATAGAAAGCTTATGAAGGTAATTGAAGAAGACACAAAGAAACGAAAACATTCCCATGCTCATGGATTGGAAGAATAAGTATTGTTAAAATGTCAATACAATCTACACAAAAGCACACATTCAATGCAATCCCAATCAAATTGCACCAGCATTCCTTTCAAAAAAACTAGGAACAAGCAATCCAAAAATTTGTAATATATGGAACCACAAAAGACCCCAAATAGCCAAAAATAATATTAAGAAGAAGACCAAAGTGGAGTGCAGAATGAATACAACTCAGACTTTAGCCTCAACACAATACAAAGGTAACTATCAAGACAGCAGCTGGTATTGGCACAAAAACAGACAATAGATAGTCCAACGGAATAGAATAGAGAATATCATTCACAAAAAAAGTGTGGCTGCAACTAATTCATTTGACAAAAAAAGAGGAAAGAATATCCAATAGAAAAGACAGTCTCTCACAACAAAATGGTGCTAGGAGAACTGGACAGCAACACATAGAAGAATGAAACTAACTACCTTTCACCCATTCAATACAAAAATAAACTCAGAATGGAAAAAAAGGACATGAATGGGAGACAGGAAACCAACAAAAACCCCTAGAGGACACAAAGCAGGAAGGAACGTCTCCTGGGACCTCCTGTAGCTGCAGCAATTTCTTACTTGACACATCCCCCAAAGGCAAGGGAATTAAAAAGCAAAATGAACTATAGTGACCTCATCAAGATAAAAAAAAGCCTTCTTGCATTGCAAAGGAAACAATCAAAAAAACTAAAAAGGCAATGGACAGAATGGGAAAAGAGATATTTGCAAAATGACATGATAGAGGCTAGTATCCAAAATCTATAAAAGAACTCACCAACCCACACACACAATTGAAAAACAAATAATCTGAAAGTGAAGGCAGGAAAAAGATGAATAGACACTTCTCTAAAGAAGACATCCAGATGGGCCAACAGGCACAAGAATAGATGTCAACGCCACTCCTCATCAGGGAAATACAAATCAAAACCATTAATGAGACCTCACGCCAGTCAGAGGTGGCCAAAAATGAACAAATCAGGAGACTCAAAGATGCTGAGAGGATGTGGGAGAACGGAACCCTTGCACTGTTGCGGGAATGCAAACTTGCAGCTGCTCTGGAAAACGTGTGGAGTTTTCTCAAAATTAAAAATAGATTCACCCCTATGACCCAGCAATTGCACTAGTATTTATCCAAGGGGATACAGGAGTGTTGATGTAGAGGGGCACTTGTACCCAATGTTTATAGCAGCACTTTCAACAATAGCCAAATTATGAAAGAACCTAAATATCCATCAACTAATAATGTAATAAAGAAATTTTGGTTTATATATACAATGGAGGCAATTACATGGTAATGAGAAAGAATGAAATATGTGTATTCTCTGTAGCAACGACCTGAACTGGAGAGTGTTTGCTATGAAATAAGTCATACAGAGAAAAGATTACTACCATATGTTCTCACTTTAATGGATCCTGAGAAATTTAAAAGATCATGCGATGGGAACGGGAAAAAAAAAAGTTAGATAAAGCATAAGAGACTTTAAAACAGAATAAACCGAGGGGCTGATAGGTGTGGTGGGAGGGAGGGAAAGAGGGTGATGGGCAGAGAGGGCACCTGTTGGGATGAGCACTGGTGTTGTATGGAAAACCACTTAAAAAAAATGAATTTGGTTATATTAAAACATATTTTTAGGGGCTTGGCTCAGTTGGTTAAGTGTCCGACTTGAGCTCAGGTCATGATCTCACAGTCCATGAGTTCAAGCCCCACATCAGATACTGTGCTGACAGCTCAGAGCCTGAAACTACTTCACTAAATTTTTCTGTCTCCCTCTCTCTCTGCCCCTCTCCTGAGGCACTCTTGTTTCTCTCTCTCAAATATT